AGGGATGGTGGTAAAAGGGTTCATAAAGGCAGCTTTAAAGCATTTCCTCATAATCCCTCTTGGATTTTCCCTTTCTCCTGTAACAATATATTCAGGACATTGTCATTATTCATGTTATTCCAGGTAAAAGTCCTACTCTGCATTGTGTGATTCAGGAGGAAAAAAGGGGTCAAATGTTCTCATCAGCTATTTAGCCAGGTGAGGAAAAAAGTACTACTTATTTATTTTATGTTATTTTGGTATTAGATGTTTATTCTGCCTTTATTATTTCTGTAAATAACTCAAGGTGGCAGAGTTACTTAATATTCCTTCCTCCTTTTTATGCCCCTATTCCTTCTTTTTATGCCCCTATGTCATACCTGCAACCTATTAGGCAACTTGACATATGGCTAAATTTACCATTCAGGATACCTCTCCATACTCATCCCACCTCACATATTGAGAAAACATGGTTATATTTCCTATAGCAGGTGATGCTCATTAGGAGGGGAAATTAAATAGGGGAATCAACCAATGACTTTGCTTAACTTGTGCATTAACAAGTGTCAATAACAGTATCAAGAGAAAACCCCTTGCTGGCCTTGTTAGTGATAAGATTCACTTGTCAGGGCAACATTCACCTGTCAGGATAGTAGTTTTTTGCTGGTTCAGTGGCTAGTGGCTAGTATTTTTAAGGTGTGTTGAGACACAATTTATGAAGAAGATAAATAAATAGCAAATCAGCTAATGCTATGCTAATTTGCTATTTATCTTCTTCATTTGTACTTTGAAGGTCCTTCTATGATGGAGAGTTGACAGAAGTACCAACATGTAACTGATGATTTACAAACCAATAATGATAGTACTAATTCTCAAGACAAAGGAGGTATTGATATTAGGGGAAGCAGATAAAAGATTCTTAATTACACCTCTTGGAGTATATGTAGGTAGAGATATTCCTTCATATGTGTAGGAAATTTCTTCTTCAGATAAGATTTTTTTTCTCCCTCACATTGCTCAATGGAACATTTTCTCCCATATTTACTTATTCAGATTGTAAGGCAGGCTGGTAAACTGAGAGGTCACACAAACCATCATGGGCACCAAGGAATTCTAGCAGTTTAAGTCTACATATCTTAAAGTTGCTGATGTTGAGAAACACTATTCTAAATCACTGAGTTCAAGTCCAGCACTCTTACACCGCCCCTCCACCCCCATACGTGTGTGTGTATTTTTTAATTGTTCAGGAATGCTAGTCTTCCCTCTTTCCTTCCCCAGAAGCACTCTTGGGAGGATTTCAGGTACAATGGCAGTACCTTCTCTGTTTTGAAAGTGAAAAAAGTGAAAAAAATGGAGGTGGTGAGGAAAGAAAGAAAGAACAAGATAGATTGTACCCCAGAGGGAGAAAATGAAGAGGCTTCTGACCAAACTTTCTTCGCCTATACTTAGAAATTTACTGTATTTTTCGGAGTATAAGTCGCACCAGACTATAATATGCACCTTAGTTTTTGGGGAGGAAAATAAGAAAAAATCTGATTGGCAGGTGGATCAGCCTCCTGGAATACCCCCAATCAGCTGTTCCCAGAGGTGAATTTTAGCAACAGGTTCCTAGGTTGTGAGCTCTGTGCCTTGCTTTTTTTTTTCTGTCTCTGAAACTTCTGAAACTCTAAACTCTGTTTGGGAGCTTCTTTTCTGAAGCTCTGTTTGGGGGCTTCTTTTCTGAAGCTTTATTTCGAATGTTTTTTCAGCCTCTGAAACCTCCGTTTGAGAAGCTGAGCAGGGCTACATTCGGAATATAAGACACACCCAGATTTTCACCCTCTTTTTTGGGGGGAAAAGGTACGTCTTATACACCGAAAAATATGGTACTTGCATTTACTCTATGTGGATTGAATTTGCTATGTAGGTAGCTCCTTCCTTCATTAATCTGGACTTCTGAATCTCAAGTAATTCCTTTTGTTGCAGCATTTCCTAACCCAACACATGAATCAGCTGGTTCTTAAGCTCTGTACACAACTGAAGAGTTACATAACTAAGGACAGGAAGTTCTGACCTGTTGGGTAAACCTCCAATGACTTCCAGCCTGGTTTTGCAGAAAGCATTGCATATTCATTCCTTTTGGGAGTAAGTGGCCCAGAACTGGCTGATAGAAGAGCCGGATGCCAAAGAGGGAAAGAGCCCTGCATGATAAAAGAGTGAGTTTTGGCAGGGTTGGGTTGCTGTCCTTGTATTTCTCAACCAGAACAAATTGCCGGTCCTTTCTGAATGGGAAGAAAGAGCAGGTAGGCTTCCTCAGGAAGCGTCTCAGAGGGATGCAGAAATTATATAGAATTTTATGCCTACTGGAACCATGTGTGGCATGCCAAATATATACAATTTCAATTGTAACATAAAATGGTAGCATATTATCTCCATGGCAACTCCTTGTTTATCCTCATGATCTGTTCCTTGTTTTATTGGCTTTTGTGAACGAATTATGAAGAAAGAGGAAACTATGCCTCGGGTTATGTAGTGTGTCATTCAGGGAATGGAGGAAACCGGAAGATGTTCAACCCAGATCATCAAAGCACTTTGCTACATTCACTTTATTTTATGTACTATAGTTTTATACTAGAGCTTTCCAGGATTCAGTCTTTGTATCTATTTTCTATGCCAAGGTTTAGTTTAGGGAAAAGATGATTTAAGAACAGACAAAAATGCCCCAGGCAGGCTTATAGTGTATTTCCTATACACCATTGACAAAGCAGAGAGAATCTGCAGCATACATCAGGGAGTAAAGGAAGGGCTTCCTAATCAGAAAAATTCACCCCCAAAGCTAACCTCTGGCATTTCCTTTTTTTAGAAATTAACCACTGGGGATTTAAGAGCCCATAACAACTGCTGTGTAATGGAATATGGAAACTCAATGAACATATCATCAATTCCCAGCTGAAAATGTGAGCAGATGTCAGGTTCCAAACAGCAGCATAAAATTTAATAGGATTCCCAATGCTTGATTTTCACCAAGCTGTAAATGCTGCCAAGTATTTGTTGGCAAATTAGAGGATTTATATTTTAATCTGGTGCTATTCCCCCAGGGCACAAGAGCAATTGGAATGTATGGGAGAGGTTGACATCCTTGAAAATTGTCATAGCAGGTGCAGTTTCAGAAAAAAAAAAGGTGACAAGGTTTCAGTTTGTTTGAAAACTTCACTAGTTCCACTAGAGAAAAAAAATAATTCAACTGCTAGTTAAATTGAAAGATGAAAACAAAGGTTATTAATGATATCCTCTTAATTTATATCACTATCATTCATGTATTATGTTTTCCTCCACTCCTTTTTTAAATCATGTACACACATATTATCAGATAGAAAAGAGTCAGCCAAATATTTATGATGATCCAACAAGCAAAATTGTAAAATAACTTCAGCATGTACTTCAGACAAATAACACCAGTTCACTTTCTGCTGGCAGAAAACAGGAAGTTTTAATATGCACTGCCTTTCTGTGTGATAAAAACCTGATATAATCCCATTTAAAATTACATTTCTATCTGATTCATGCATAGCAATACAGTCAAAAGAGCAATAAATGAGACATGTAAAAGTTGCCTACATTTATGATAATTAGTTTCATCTATTCAGAAAAAAGGCACTTCCTTTACAAATTCAAGTATTTATTACAATATTTAGAAAGTATCTTTCAGAGTTCTCCCAGAGTGCTATACTAAACAACTGCATACAATAATAAAATATTGCTATGTAGCACTTTAAATCATGGGTGTCCAACCTTTTGGCTTGCCTGGATTGCACTGAGTAAAGAGGAACTATCTTGGGCCACAGAGAAAATGTGTCATATAGTTAATGTATATAAATCACATAATAGTGTTAAAAGTTTACAATCTTGGGCCACATTAGTAGCTGTTCAGGGCCGCATGTGGCCTGCGGGCTGGACATAGTTGCTTTAAATATTATTAGTTCTTTCCAGAAGTAGTATTATCAGGAATTAAAAAGAACTAGTTCAGTGGATAATAAGTATAAAAAAAATGATCTAGAACTGAGCGGTTCCTTCCAGAGGTGAAATCCTCCGCAGTTTGCCACCAGTTCGCTGCCCATGCATGCGGTGTGTGTGCCAAACACGTGCTGCATGCGCATGCACAGTGTGCACCAAACGCATGCTGGATGTGCGCAGTGCGCACCAAACACGTGCTTCATGCAGAAAAAGGACACTTAACAAGGTAAGTAGAACAGCGAGGGGGGAACAGCTGTGCCGCGCAATTTAGATTTGCTAGAAAGCAGGATTTCCTGCTTTCTAGCAAATATAAATTGCGCGGCACAGCTGATCGTTGGAAATACCGGTTTGGACCAACTGGTAGCTTTTTTTACAACCGATTTGCCCGAACTGGTGTGAACCGGTTCTTTCCTTACTTATTCAACTATCTCTCTACTCTTATTTTTCCCAAATTGTTGTAGCTTAATTTAATGGTATGGATCCAGTATTGACAGTACAAAGTTCTGTAGAATTTGTGGAAGGGGAATTTCCTTCAAAATGCTCTCTATTTATTTCTCCACATCTACAAAGACACTTATTCTCCCAATAAATAACATTGGAATTTAAAATCACATTAACTAACCTAATCGAGTGACTATTAACACTAACATTAACATAAAATTAACCAGGTAGCAATTTTTTTCCAGAGTGTATATACTGTATTTAGATGTAATAGATATTTGCATTCCATCAAAGGGCAAATTCCATTTGTTCCCTTGTTATGTATTCTTATTTAATTAAATAAATTATACAAACAAATACATTTCTTGTTCTTAACTGACATTATTTTGACACTAAGCCTATTTTTAATATATCTAATTTTTGAACAGTACAGGGCTACATGAAATAATTATATCTGTAAACTGCTGGTGAAGGAATCACTTTTAGACACAGGATTAGCACAAAGCCATTTCACAGAGAAAGACATGTATTCTGAATGCACATACATTGCTACCTCTTTATAGAGTGTATTGGAGAGAGACATAATAGAGGATGGAGAGAAAATTTATTACTGGAGCTCATATATATCACACTATTTTCTTAAATTATGATATATTAATATGCCATAATTAGCTGGGCTAACATACTGCAGTAGGTAACAAATCCACAACTTTTCATGATGTGAATTCTCAAAATAACATTATGACCTAGTACAGGGTGGAAATCCGGTCTTTGAATGGCATTATATAACTATTTTTACAAAACTCATAGATAAAGCAGAATCTAAGGCAGTCTAATCTGGATTCTAATCCAACAATGGAATGTATTTAAAATTAGTATATCACCTGACATACCATACTTTTCTAGGTAATATACATTGTTACACATTAAATACAGTATGTAATATTATACGGTGGTGTCACATAATTCAGTAAAAAAAAACCAGAATAAGTGGTGCAAAATATGTAATCGGTAATCAAGCAGAATAAGTGGCTTCTGGTGTGTGTCATGGCCAGTGGTGAAATCTGAACTGGTTTGCTAGCTGTGCATGTGCACTGCGCGCCAAACATGCGCTGCGCGTGCACACATACACAATACACACCAAAAGGAGGCTTGGGAAGGTAAGTAGAACAGTGAGGGGGGGATCAGCTGTGCTGCACGATTTAGCTTCGCTAGAAAGCAGGATTTCCTGCTCTCTAGCAAATCTAAACGGTGCGGCACAGTTGATAGTCAGAAATACCAGTTCGGAAGAACCAGTATCTTTTTAAAATTACCGGTTCGACTGAACCGGCAGCTAACTACTACTTCGACTGAACCGGTAGCTTTTTAAACTGAACCGGTAGCTTTTTAAACCAGCGGTCACCAACTGGTGGTCCGTGAGAAAATTTTGGTGGTCTGCAGAAAAAGTATTTGCATTTTTTATATTGCTCTAAGTTAGGGGTCCTCAAACTACGGTCCCTAGGCCGGATACGTGCAATGAACATTTGTGTTGCAGCAGAGTCTCCCCTTTTGAGGTCTTTTTGTGTGGGTCGGAGGGGGGCAGAAATTCTGACTTGGGGGTCTGCTTCAGCCTCCTGGTACAGGGCTTTGGGCAAAGGCTGGAGGGAAGTGCTGCTGGTGATGAAGAGCCGGAGGGCCTCGTTCCAGTGGGACTGCATCATGGCCTGGAACTAGCTGACCATCTCAGCCCACTGAGCCTCCAGGCGCCAGTACCTGGCCTTGCACTCCCACAGGTCTTCCCTCTGCTTGGAAAGCCTATGCTCCTAGTCCTCAGTGAGGTGCTTCTGCTGAGTCTCCTTCTCGGTCAGATCCAATTTGAACTAACTGAGCTGTTTTGCCAAAACTTTCTCCTGGTGGCTGCTTAGCTTCAACAGCTGCTTCCTGTTGGGGCCCTAAGGAGCCCGGGCAGACAGGCAAGGAGTGGCTGGGAGGGGAGGGGTGAGTAGAGGCTGGCAAGGTGCCCCTAGATGCAAGTGACATCGAGTTGGCCATGCCCATCCAGTCACATGACCACCTATCCACGCCCACCCAGCCAGTCATTAGGCAGATCATATTAGTGGTCCGTGAGATTTAAAATTATGAATTTAGTGGTCCCTGAGCTCCGAAAGGTTGGGGAACCCTGTTTTAAACTACTGGTTCACCCGAACTGGTAGCTTTTTTTTACTATCGGTTCATTTGAACTGGTAATTTTTATTACTACCGATTTGCCCGAACTGGAGTTAACCAGTAGCATTTCACCCCTGATCATGGCTAACTAAAGTTGTCTCCACAAATCAGAGATGACAATTGTTGAGAAGGACAGAAGACTGGCAATTAGATTGGGTTTTTTGGTTTTTCAAAGATGGAGAGATTGGGAGATTGTTTACAAGTGTCTGAATTGCAGCTACTCACAAACAGCATTCTGCTGTGGGTTTGAGCACTAGGAGTCAAGGGAGACAACATCTTTGCTCTCAGCAATGGCAGAGCATTTCATAAGGACACTAAGCCAGATATTATTGGAATATCAGTTATTTTTTGCTTTAAGATTAAAAAAAATGAAATAAGATATTAGGGGGAAATTACTGAAATGGAACTAAATCCATATTAGGCATTAAGGCTTGATGATTAAAGGACCAGGGAGAACAGAGTTAAAATCGTAAGCCAGATATAATTTTTTCTTTACTTAAAGAGTTTTTTGAAACATGGACTGAAATATTGATAATATCTCAGAAAGGCTACAGATTTCAGTAGATAAAATTAGGTGAGAAAAAAATTAAGAAAATGTTTACCTGACATAAACATTACAGAGTTTGAAGGCATGGAAGACAACAAAATTAAGATTACTAAAACAGTAATACAAAAGACAAATCAAGAAAAGGATTTGGACATAGAACAGTTATGACAAGAAATCAGACCAGACTTCTTTATGGGATTTACAAATGACTGCTTTGAATATTCCTTTTTAATGCCAAAGAGTAATGATAGATCAAATCCTGCAATGCCATAAGTATGCTTTAAAAATCAAGATTCTGCAGAGCAAAATGAAGGGGTATAAAGTTTGACTATTTGACCAGAGATACATCATTCATTTGATTTTTCTGGTAACTCCTAATTAATGTGGTGCCTGGTGGCTTAGCAGACTAAAAGCATTGTGATTAACACCAGTTGTCTGCAATTACTGTAAGTTCGAATCTCACCAGGCTCAAGGCTGACTCAGCCTTCCATCCTTTCTAAGGTAGGTAAAATGAGGACCCAGTTTGTGTGGGCAATAAGCTGACTTTGTATAAATATACAAAAGTATGAAGGCTATTGCTTAACGCATTGTAAGCCGCCCTGAGTCTCCGGAGAAGGGCGGCATATAAATCAAATTTAAAAAAAAATGTTTTGCTGAACTAGAATTGAAAAGATGATTATTTCTCTACTGAATAGAGATAAAAGTTAGGCTATGAAAAGGAGAATTCTTTATTTGTAACTTTCAAATAAAGTGAAGATTTAGTATATCAGCTTATGCTTGATGTGATAAAGGTTGGAAGCCACTTCTTTATTATTGCATTTGTTGCCTTTTTCTTTCATCTTCTACTTTTTTCTTTTTTTTTCTGCACCTGATTTTTTTCCTTCTAATTTAGCTTGTATTTATTATATTATCAATAAAATTATTAACCAAAAAATACTGACATGAAGTGCCCTGACAGAATTGGTTCAGAGGAGATATCAACAACATTTAATATCATGTTTATTCAAAGGCATTGCTCATTTAGTCCCATGGAGCCTTCTTGCAGCTATCAATTGAGTTCTGGATTATGAATGTACAGCCTGATTCTGTGCTCTATTAAAGTAAGTCCATTGCTTTCAGTAGTATTTAGCATGACAAGCTATGCAGAAATACAAAGTATTATGGTAAGCATTCTCACAAACAATAGATAAAACTTAATTGAGACTTGTTACAAGGGGAAAAAAATCACAGGTGACTTCAGCCTGGTACTTTGGCCATTTCTTCATTAAAGATTGATAGGATTTTAATGCGTCATCCAACAATTGTTGAAGTAATATATCACTAATGAAGATAGGGCTTACACTGACAAGCAAATTGTTGGATTATTATACTGCAAGATGTAAGAAATCACTAGCAGTGGAAATGGTAAAAATAAGTTTAGATGGTAAATAGTTGCAATATAAAATAACTTGCCAGTTTGCCTTCTAGTAAATGGAATTGCGGGGGCATTATGGCTCAGTGGTTAGAGACACTGAGCTTGTCAGTTGGAAAGCTGACAGCCTGGGTTCGAGACCAGAGCATCACATGATGGGGTGATCTCCTGTTACTTGCCCCAGCTCCTGCCCACCTATCAGTTTGAAAGCATGCAAATGCAAGTAGATAAACAGGTACCACTTCAGTTGAAAAGCAAACAGCATTCTGTGCACCTTTGCATATACTCATGCTGGCCACATGACCTCGGAAATGTCTTTGGACAATGCTGGCTCTCTTGGCTCAGAAACAGAGATGAGCACTGCCCCCTAGAGTCGGACATGACTGGACAGGAGAAACCTTTATCTTTAGTTTTAAATGGAATTCTATGTCTATGCAGTATATACCCACCATGGCTACAGTTTTGAAAATAACCTACATTGATTGCACATTTTGAAAGACTATCTATAACAACAGTTCAAAATTCCAAATGTTCTCTATCTCATTTAGTTGTTCTCTAAATGTTTTTCTTTCAGACTATGCCTCACAAAAATATTTTTTTGAACATGGTGGCCTTTTAAAATGTTGCTATGCCCATTATGAACAATTTCACCTTTTCTTACCACTGCTATTATATATAAAAATAGTATTATTTATTTTCCAACATGAGTGACAGGTCATAGAAGAAGAATCTATAGAAAAACATACTTGTATTTCTTATTCACCAATTGTATTAATTGTATTAATTATTCACCAATTCAGTTCTGGTCTCATTTTCAATAATGGCACACATCCTCCAGAAAGTCATTCTTCTGTATATGACTGAAAATGACTTAATCAATATAAATATCACCAGATCTACCAGATCTATAAAGAAAACATTCTAGCTATTTTAAACCTGGAAAACAGGTTAATGATATTTTGTATTGGTACATATTTTTTACTCATAAAACTGCATACAATATGCTAAACCACAGTTTAAGTAGAATGGCTGAATAAGTCATAATGGGCTGGATTCATGGAACGAAGCTCCCAGGGTGACATTGGGCCAAGTCACTTTCTCAGCTTAGCCTACCTCAAGGAGGCTGTGAGGAAAAAACAGGAAGAACATTATGTACGCTGCCATGAGCTCTAAATGAAAGCTGTGATAGGAATCAAATTTAAAAAGTAAATAAATACATAATTGCACTAGCCATAATTCATATTTCACAAACAGCTGTGTTGGTGAAACATACCGAGCCATAAACCAATCAAATTATACTTAGTACAATGTGTAAAGTTAATGTGTAAAGTCATGTGTAAGTCATAATTTTTGATTAATCGACAAAATTTAACTTAATCTAATTGCATTCCCTCTCTTACTCAGGAAGGTAAGCATAATGCAGATTCCTACTGCTAATTTGAAGAAGGCTTTGCTGCTGCAAAATCATATTGTCCCAAATAAACTGCTCTTAAACACTGCAGCTCATTTGCTACCCAAGACTAGATTTTCAGGTGGCCAGTTTAGGCAAGAAATTAACAATAGTTAACCAATATCATTTGTGTATTGTATGTTTTATTGCCAGATGTGAACTCAAAAACCTTATTTGAATGTTTCTTTTCTCTTTAAAAAGAAACAAAAACTGGAAAGTACACAGTTACTTTCATCATAGTGAAAACACACCCAAAAAAGAGCAATTGCTTCTTGTACAAATACATATATGAAGAGTATCTAAGGGACATCTTTTCCAATTGCATCTACCGTGTTTTCCCGAAAATAAGACTCTGTCTTATATTTTTTTGAACCCTGAAATAAGCGCTTGGCCTTATTGCCATGCGCTCAAAAGCCCAATTGGGTTTATTATTAAGAAATGTCTTATTTTGGGGGAAACAGGGTAATACTGTAGAACCCATCACTGCTATTTTTAATTCTAAGGCCCACAACATTGGTAACAAAAGCCAGCCTAGCTCACATGGTTAGTGACGACTGTTGCTAAAGAAAAAACTTTCCTTTCACCTCTGTCCTAATTCGGTTTTTATTTCAAGACAAAACCATGAAATGTTTTATGACTCTCTACAGTTTAAAAAGCCACAAAACACTTGGTTGTTTTCTCTATAGAAGATTTAGAGCTACTCTTCCAAATTCAAGTCACAGTCGCTTTGCAAATAATACTGAAAATACTAAAGAGAAACCACACCATCATAGCCTCACCAACAATGGCAGGGGAAACTACACAGGGAATAAACCACACATACTCCCTAACATTGATGATGTTACCTAGTTGTTGGGTAATGAAATGTCTGCAAGTAAATAACCAAGTTCAGACAGCAGCAAGGTGAAGAGACATGGTGGCGCAATGGTTAAAATGCAATATTACAGGCTAATTCTGCTAACTGCCAGCAGTTCGATTCTCACCGGCTCAAGGTTGACTCAGCCTTCCATCCTTTTGAGGTCAGTAAAATGAGGACCCGGATTGTTGGGGGCAATATGCTGACTCTGTAAACCGCTTAGAGAGGGCTGTAAAGCACTGTGAAATGGAATATAAGTCTAAGTGCTATTGCTAGTGCTATAGTGTTGAAAATACATACAATAGCCTAGTATCTGTTATGCAGCCTTCTAACACTGTCAGACATACACATTTTAAAAACAGGAATTAATACCACAGTGATTAATATTATTTGACTTTCACCTACTTTCCTCCACTAAGCCTAATAAGTATAATTACTTTGTTTTTGTAGAATTGTTTCAAAATTGCCAAGGGACTGTTGCATTTAGAAATATGAGGGATTTTTATATCTTGTGATACCCACAGAAAAGGTTTTTCTCGCTATTTTGTAACTTCCCTACAGTACTGATTCTTCTGAATCATATATTTCTCGGTGCCTTTCTTTCTGGACAACTGGCCATGCATAGGTTGTGAGAAACCCCAGCCTTATTTTCATAGCCTCCAGAGTTCCTTAGAATTGTGTCACATTAACATATTAGTACTATGCCTCTTGAAATCATAAGCCAATATACTTCTCCTATTGCCAGGTTTCCCAACTTTGCTATATTGCAAATTTATACACAATTTATATACAATTTGGGCTTTTTTTTTTTTTGTAAAAGTGGAAACAAGAGTCAACATTTCTTTCAATGTAGGAGATATAACCAATGAGTATCTCTGGGAAAATTAGAATAATCTTCCTCACATTTAATTGCTCAGCATTATGCAAAAATTATCTTATAATTATATAAATTAACTAACCTGATCCAATGTTTCTTGATTTGATAGGTAGCATTTTGGAAATGCAATTTATAATTTGCCTAAAAGTCTACAATATCCTAAATATTTCATCCATGTATTTAAAGTAATTAATTGAGCTCCATCTATTAAATACTGTTGGTAATTTAGTTATTTTCATTTGTTAGACTTTCCATAATAATAAAACATTTAGCAGTTGCTCTTTTTTATTGATTTCAGGACTTTTTGAAAAAATGCTTTTAAAGCATCCTTGCTTATAATAATCTCTCACCATTAACAGCAGAATCCTATGCATGCCTACTCAGAAATCTGAGCTCAAAGAGCTGAAAATTACACAGCAGATATATTTATTTTTTATTTTTATTTTATATTGGATTTCTATACCGCCCTTCTCCCTAAGGACTCAGGGCGGTGTACAGCCAGATTAAAAAAACATGCAGAACAAATATTAAAAACAATTAAAAGATATATAAATTTGGCCCAATTAAAACTCATTAAAACTCATTATTTGGCCCAATTAAAACTCATATTGATGCCAATTCTAATAAAATAGTACTAGAACATTAATAAATAAATGAATCTGTAGAGGGAAATTGAGAAAAAGTGACATACCTTACCGGCATGCCAACTCTATTTTTATCAGTTTCTATTTAATCCTCTCTAGGGTGGAGGTTAGAGAAAACTGGTTCTACTCCATTGTAGGAAAGTCCTGATTGGATGCTGCTTTTCTAATCATAAATAAGGAATGTAAATCAAATCTCTAAGCTAAGTCTCTTAAAAGTATGTGCAGCAAAGGTAAATGGGGCAAATGCAGATGGTTAAATTTATACTTGATTTGTTTTTAGAAACTATTAGATTTATATCTGCCACTATTTCATACAAAGCAGCATAATATCCACAGCTTCTGTTTTTCCCACAACCATCCTGGGATGTGGGTTGGGCTGAGAGAGTGACCCAAGGTTCCCAACTGGCTTCATGCCAAAATGGGATTAAACCTCACCATCTCCAGATTAGTACCGTAGCTGGTGCCTTAACCACTACACCAAACTGAATCTCCAGCAAAAAGCTTCAATAATTCTAATAGAAAGATGTCAGTGGATAAAATCAATTAGTTTAAATCAGTTAATGCAAGTTCTGCTTGGCCAGTTCAATTTGGGAGAGTTATTGCACTCTGGGTTTCATCAATTAAACTGTCAGAACCCTGGAAGCTTGATTTCTCTATAGAAGCACCTGCTCTCTGGAATGAGATTCTCCCATGAAATTCCAATGGCTCCCACCCTACTGGTATTTTGAAGGGCCTTAAAGGCCTGGCTCTGGAAAGGACTAATGCTTCTTTCTTTCTTTCTTTCTTTCTTTCTTTCTTTCTTTCTTTCTTTCTTTTCTTCTTTCTTTTTCTTCCTTCCTTCCTTCTTCCTTCCTTCCTCTTTTTCTTTCTTTCTCTCTCTCTCTTTTCTTTCCTTTCCCTTGTTCCCGACTTTGTTTTCTCTGCCATCTTTGTCTTTTGTCTTGTCTTGTTTTTTGTGTTGTTCTTTATTTTAAATTGTTTTACCAATTGTATACCACCCCAGGTCGCTGGGAGTTGGGCAGCATATATATTTAATAATTATCAAATTATTTACCACCACCCCATTTCTGCCCCACAATTCTCCAAAAACGTTGCTACAGAGTGGAAGTTTAGATAAAGGGGAGCACCTGCATACCCATACGTTTATTTGAAACAAAGAGTAGTAAAAGATTGATTACTTTGGTTACATTTGGATCTAAACCACTTCCCCAAAGCTTCAGAGTGCTGAACCATAATGTTCATCCCATGGTGACTGGGAATGCCGAAATATGGTGTTGCAGGATGATTATAGGATTATAATGATTATTATCCAGTAGAGAGGATGGCTTCATAGAAAGGGTCATCTTAGTTATTACACAGTATTTGAAACTACTGAAGAATTACCCAATGTTTTTAATCAAATGAACACATCGTACCTGATCTTTGGAGGGCACTGGCTACCATCAATTTCAATGTTGTATGTGTGTCTTGGGTATAATTTTTATTACGTTGACAACCCATCGGGGAAATGGGTTTGCGAGGTTTTTCTCTTCAACCTGACGCCGTCCGCTAAACTGAAGACTTTTTTGCGCTTCACCTTCAATGTCTCCTGCCTTATTTATAGAATGGCACGGGGAAAAAAAATCGCTGGGGGACGAGTCATCCAGATTTCTGGAGTTCAGGCATGAGAGCGAGACAAAAGAGACAAAATATAGTACCTGGCAAAGCATCTCCCTACAAAGTTAATTCAAACTTTCTGCAAGAATTAGAACGCGCCTTACTTTTCTATTCCTTACATTGCCATCCCATTTATTTATTTATTCGTTCAATTTATTTGAAAGAAAAGTCACCTTTCTCTGCGCGCGACCAGGACGCCTCCTCCGCCCCCCTCCCCCCACCCCACCCCAATACACTCCCTGGAATCTTACCCCATTCTGGAGTCTAGAACGCACAGAGCAACTCATTGAAACGCCGCCGCGCGCATGCTCCAAGAGGCGTACTTGTGGGGCGCTTAGGGCAGAACCACCCATTTGACTGTAAGGACGCATGTGCGCCGTCTGAGCTGGTCTAAGGAGGGTGGGAAGTGTGGGGGTGACGTCAAGGCGCGGCAGCCATTACACGGAGAGCGGACCGGATCGGCGAGCGTGAGAGGAGCAGCCGCTGCCGCTGCTCCCAGTCGCCTTGGAGGGAGAGATTCCGCTCTGCATGTCTCTCTCCTCCTCCGTCCACCCCTCACTCCTTCCCGACGCTTAGCAGCCTCCCCTAATAATCTCCGCGAGGGGGAGGGAGGAGAAGGGTGGGCGGAGGTGGGGCAGGGGTGGTGGGTGCCGGCGAGGGAGCGAAGAAGGCAGGCAGGAAGCGGCGGCGGCGGCGGCGGCGGCAGCAGCGGCGATGGAAGAGAAGGTCTTCACGAAGGAGCTCGACCAATGGGTCGAGCAGCTGAACGAATGCAAACAGCTCTCGGAAGGGCAAGTCAAGAGCCTGTGCGAGAAGGTGGGCAGCCAATGGCGGGGGAAGCGGAGGTGGTGGTGGTGGTGGGGGAAGACCCAGACCCAGTCGGGGTGGGGTGGGGTGTGGGTGGGGTGTGGGGAGGAGAAATACACCAGGGGTAGAGAAAGGAATTCGGGAAAGGAACCTCGGTGGAAACGCACCGGGATCCAGCAAGATCCGGAAGGGCTCTCGGGTGGGATCTGATCACGGAAGGCTCCGCTGAGATGAGGAAGCGGGCCAGGAGGGCGCTGGGACGAGCGAGCGCGGACTCGGGAGCCACCGCAAGGGGCGCCCTCCGGGAGGGATGAAAGAAGAAGCGGCGGCGAAGGTGGAAGCGGAGGAGTACATCTGCCCAAGAGAAGGCAGAGCGGGGTGTGTCCCAGGGTCAGGTGCAATGCAAGAGACGGGGCTCCTGCCGGCCTTGGGCTGCCCACTCTGCAATCCCCGCGAGGTGTTTTTTTTTCCCCTCTCCTCCTTTTTGTTCGCGGAGTAGCCGGTGTGGCTCAGCGGACCGCTTCCCCCGCCGGTCCTGCGCCCCCTGTCGCATCGCCCTCTCCTCCTCCTCCTCCTCCCACCAGCTCTTAAAATGGCGCCTTTCTCCGAAAATAATGCTGCTAGGAAGTCCCTTGTGCTCGGCGGGCGGGTTTTGATGCACGGGCGAGTGATGGAGGAGGGAGAGAGAGGTTTGATAAAGATGCCGGCGAAAAGACAAGAGAAGAGAGGAGCCAAATGTATTGTTCTAAAAATCCGCGCCAAGCTCTCGGCAGTCCCAACCTCGCTCGGATCGAGAGAAAGCAGCGATTAATTTATGCGGTCGGAATATCGTTCGGATCGTGATTGATGTCCATTAGGTTGTCATTTTACAAATCTCCCCTGGCATTTTATTCCACTGAACTTAATGGACTTCCGAGTAAACCTACATTGTTGGAATAATGGGAGTAGTATGGAAGAAAAGTGAATCACCCTGGAATCTATGAGTATTTTCTTCTATTGCAGTAGTATATAACGATGAATCAGTTAAATTAGATTGTAACGTTTTGTTGTCAAGTTCCTTCATACTAAAATGCAGTTGGTTTTTTTTTAATGAAGCATTTGAATACCATTCGTTAAATTACATGAACAAATGGTATAAAAATAATTTATTACAGTAACATTACATTAACTGTATTACATTAAACTTAAATGACAGCAGGAGAAAGGACAGTTTTTCTCAGCACATAGTATTTCCTTTTCTAAATTGATTCCTGTGGCTATAAATGTCACACTCTCTCAGCCCATACCACCTCACAGGGTTGTTGTTATTGTGGAGAAAATAGGAGGAAGAGGTGTTTTGGGTATGTTCATTGTCTTGAATTATTTCCAAAATTAACAGGTGGAATATAAATGAAATAACAATTGTATTTAATTCAGGTTTAAATTTAGGATTATGGTTTTAGGTAAGTACTTTTGGCTAGAAATATATCTGATTAGACTTATGTAGTAATTTGTTAATTTTCATTAGATCCATAAGTTTTTAAAATTTTTAATATTTAACCTTCAGTGACAAAGCAGATAAAAATGTTAAGAGTGCTTTTTGATATAAACTAAAGATAGTCCTCGACTTACAACCACAATTGAGCCCAAAATTTCTGTCGAGAAATTTGTGAGAAACTTCTCACAAATTTCCCATTTTACAACCTTGTCACATTTGTTAAGTGAATCACTGCAGTTGTTAAATTAGTAATACAATTGTTTAGTTAATCTGATTTCCCCATTGACTTTGCTTGTCAGAAGGACGCAAAAGGGGATCATGTGACCCCAGGACACTGTGACTGTCATAAATATGAACCAGTTGTCAAGCATCTGAATGTAAACCATGGTCATAAGTGTGAAAAATGGCCATAAGTCACTTTTTCAGTGCTGTTGTAACTTTAAATGGTCACTAAATGAACCGTTGTAAGTCAAGGACTACTATATTACTCAGTTGTTGATGTCTATGGAGATTCTCAGACATCCAGGTCATGGTTGTCCCAAAAGTGCTTTTTCAAAAGGCAACCCAGACTTTGTTTTAAAAGTCTAGTTGCCTTTTGAAAAAGCACTTGTGTGATACTCAGTCATAAGGTTTCATTGGAATCCATGGAAGGAACTTAAACTTACGTAGAGTTTTAGTTTAGTTTGTGGTAACAAAATTTAATTGTTTGAATTGGCAACCTGCAAGTGCAAAAGTTATAAGGTTGGGTTGTTGGTTTTATAACCATCATAACTTACAAAATGTTAAGTTCCATTAGAATTGTAGGCCGGAATAGTAGACCATCTATACTAAATAACTTTAGAAATGGTAGAAATTCAGTTTTGAAATATACAAATTTTGGGGTGAAGGATGGAGATTGTCCAATACATTGGCATATTATTAATAGGAATGAGTAAAACAGGTAATGGAAGATTTATTTTAATGTTACCAGTCCTTTCTTTGTAGTTTGTTTTTGGGTCATTCATCCAGCTGTGAAAACATTAAAAAATGCTATATATATGTTGAATTTGCAGTTCACTTATACGAGATGCTGGTTTTAACTAGTATTTGAAGCTACAATTTTTCTAGTTTTGTTAAAGAGATATTAAATATGGCAAATGAATTCTTTCCATACTTGGAGCAGTCTACCTTTGATAGTAAAGAATTTGGAGAGAAAAAGTAAGGTTGTTCTTGTTTAGTGATTGCCTTGTTTAGTGACTATTTGCAGTTACAGTAGTGATGAAAAGTAACTTTAAAACCAATCCACGCATTTACAATCCTTGTAGATCTGTAAATCAAAGAAAATCAGTCATGGTTTCATTTAGGAGCTGCTTCATTTAACAACAAAGATGCTGGTCCCAATTGTGGTTGTTAAATAAGGACTACCTTAATCCAAGCAGTGACGTTAAACTGCAGAAATAAATATAGTGGTAATAAGGCCAGCATGATTTTTAACGTTAAATGTGAATGGTATAAGACCAGGAAGCTTTTCTGCTTGTTCAATGATACATACATGAATAAGTGAAACATTGTGTCATAGATTCATTACAACACTTTTGCTAATATGATAAGAATAGCAGGTAAAAATTGTGGCTTTGCAAACTGACTGTCTGAAATTCTTTTAAACATTACTGGAAAATTCACTAACTCCTTTGGGCTGTTCAGATTATACCAAACTCAGGTTAGAAGTTTCTGTCAATTTATTTTTTGAAAAATTTAGAACTGAAATCTAAAGAAATATTTTTTATAAAATTGAATTGTTTATCCAATAAAATGGGAATGCATAATATATTGGTCAGATTTGTACAAAATATTATAGCATACTTATAGAAAATACTTGTTTTTCTAAGATTTTTGTTCAGGTTAGCTGTCATCTCTTTTGTGTATTTCTTTTTTTATAATGATACTCATATTTCTGAGACTGTTGTCCTGTTCATTCTACACGGGGCCGTTCCTTGGAGTTAGCTTTTTTAAAAAAAGAATTTTTAAAATTATTTTGACAAATCTTGGTGTTCTTAAAGCCATCTGATATTTCAGTCTTGTTAGTGCTCAGCATGTAGTGCAGTTTCCCTATATAATAACATCTTCTAGGAAATAAAGTTAGATTATTACAAATTATGGAGGAAGGGCAGAATGTCAGATTTTTTAAAAAATGTTTTGGATAGAAAAAAATGTACTTTGCGTCAGAATTTTTTATTCTGTGGACAGAAATATAAGTAGCAGGTTTTGTTCAAAACACCGCAAAGGAATAGAAAGAATTGAGCATGAAGAATGATTTAAAAAGTCAGGCATTTGAGGTAAAGAAATTAAAGAGTACATATTAAAGTTAAGGTAGTGACTTTTTCTAAGGAAATTAAACAGATTTTAATTTTTCACTTGAATTAACATATTAATGATAAATATTGCTCCACTGACACAGGTAATAACAAATATAATAAACTATATTGCCTCTTCCTGTCTTGCTAATAAAGAAAATAATTGTTCATTTCCTCCATGCTGGTTCTCTTTTCTAGTTAAAATACCTTGCTGCTCCTGTACTGGTATGTCTTTAATTTAGATACGAAGATAAGTAACAGTACTAGCTAAATATGCAATTGTTAATTAGTTCTGAATTGGATTAGGTACTAATAGAAACCTGGTGTGATTCAGTATATAGTATTTAAGGTTCTCATCAGAAGTAATGAAGTTTTTCAATGTTATTTATCAGATCAGCATTTAAGTTAGCAATTAAAGCCCTGTTTTATGACCTCACTGTGTTACCTTGGATTAGGTGTAGCAAATAAAAACCAAGATGTTCTAGTCTAGTTTACTGAAAGTAATTCATTCACTTAGACTGATAGATTAAAATTTAAAAGTTCAATGTTTTGAATCAAACTAATGTTTTGAATCTTTTATGTTTTACACATAAGTGTTGATTAAGACAGAAATCCTAATGATAAATAGCAAGAATAAAATGATTTTTGTAGGATCTCATCATATTACTACTTTGAATAGTAACTAGGACTATGCAGCCACTCATATTTTTAAGAGGAAAACATTTGGATGCCTTCATGGTTCTAGTAATAACATTAAGACCAGTTGTAGCTGTGGAAATAAACTG